CACTTTAGCCCCTGAGCTAATATATATCATGTTAGCCACTGAGATAACATATATAACATTAGCCCCTGAGCTAATATACATCACTTTAAACCCTGAGCTAAAACACATCTCATTAGCCACTGAGTTACTATATTCAGGTTTCTCTTGTAAATGAGACCTCGAGACTCAATGGGATTAACCTGTCAAAATAAAGGCTGAATGAATATCACATTAGCCCGAGCTAAAATATATTTTTATCGTTATCTCCAGAGCTAATAGGGTTAGCTCCAGAACTATTGAACTAAACATCTCAGGTTGAACAGGTTTGATTTTTTTCGACAAATACATTGTGCATGAAGACTAAAACAAAATATAGTTTTATTGTCAAGTTATACCTTTTTAGCCTCGTCTATTAGTCTCCGCTACAACCGTTGTACGTCATCACCCCAGAAAGCATTGCGCCGGTAAAAGGCGTCGTCCTTAGGACAAAAATGCAATAAACATATAATTATTTTAAGTAAGTAGGAGTTTAAACGCGTCACAAACAACAACTTTAAGTAGAAAAGAGAAACAACATATTAAGGCTAACGTGCAAGCTATCCCTTAAAGATAGCAGACTGTCAGCTGTGGTGTTAATAAAATAAATGCGTTTCTAAAGTCGGTGTGTGATGTGTAAGTACTAACTCATCAACTACTCGCTACCGATATTCAGTATTGACATGTACCCAAACTGAAGTGGTTGTACTCGGTTTGAAAAGTACTAGTTTCTGAATGTCCCTATTTGCAAATTTCAACCCGTGTTGCACCAGATGACAGATAAATCCAGATGTTGGCTCCATGAAGTCCACTAAACAACACCAAATATCATCTTGGTGAGTAAATCGTGTGTGTTTTGGTGTTTAGCTGTGAGCTCTGTCTTCTTGGCTGCAGATTTCCTTTCAGACCTTGTCTAACCCGCACAGATTTGTCCTAAAAGGCTCCCGAAACAACGATTCTGTGTTTAAAATAACCGCTTCACTTCTCCAACAGATTGGGGCCAAAAAGGTCAAAAGCAGCGTTTTAGCGACGAGCTATCGAGTGTTCAATGAAGCAAAGAGCAGCCGCCTCAAATCAGAGCGGCGAGGGGAGAGCTGGGCCCCGCTCAGGCCCGTCAGAGCCACATCAAAGGAAATATGGATGGGTTTGGACCGGGACTGGGAAATTCATCGGGAACCGAGAAGGGAGGGGAGGAGAGAAAAGACATCCAGAGCGACTCGTTGGTTTTGTGCTTGTTTGTTTTCCATATCTTCTTTTTTATATTATTACAAAACTTTACACAGACAGATGCTAAAGGCTCCACCCTCGAGTGGAAACACGAAAACAACCAAAAAAATAAAAAGTATTTCTCATCCAAAAAGGCATAAATAATATAAAAGACAAACTTTTTTTTCCTTTTCAACAGATACATTCATATGAAATATTATTTTACTACTACAAAAAAATAAATAAGTCATCTAAAGAGTTCTTGATGTTTTATGAGCGTTCCCTCCAGTGGGACAAAGTTTTTTCTGTTTCTCTCCATCTGGCTGTTTTTTTTAAAAACTCCTCAACATCGTTCGTTTTGTCTCCGTCCAACGGTCCTTTGTCTTTGTCACCGTAACTCGCAGTGTCTCTGACTCGTCCTTCCACCCAGACTTCATACAGACTGCCACCCCACAGTGGATGGACGGGGGGGGGCGGGGGGCTCAGGCTTCCTGCGGGCCGGCCCGGATCAGTTCTCCCGACAGGCTGCAGCTGGAGATCCACCCGGGCTTCTCGTCGCAGTCCAAGTCTGGCAGTCCGAGGCTGTCCCAGGACACCACGCACTCCTCCATCACCACGCACTCCTCCAGCTCCTCGCACTCCGGCTCCTCCTCAGCTGAGAGGAAGGAAGAGAAAACAAGACGTTAAAAAAACCCCCAAAAAAAACAGACAAGCACGGATTCTGGACAGGCTGACGGTTGTAATTTGTGGTGCCTAGTTTGTCTGCAGGCGACGTGAGGGTCTGGAGAGTTTAACGGGGACACGTATCAGAAACCACAACGCTCCACGAGTCGTTCCACGGAACGATGAAGAAAAGAAAGCAGAACGGGACACACATGCTGTCTCTGGGTCCTTGAAGACTCGTCAGCTTTTAATGGAAGCGTCTCCAAATTGTCTCAAAACCTTTCACAATTTCTTGGCTCGAGTCCCAAAGGCTCGTTACTTGAGCAGGTGTGTGAAAAGTGAAAGAAGGTGCGCGGCCACGACTACAGGTCTGCAGGCTGTCCCAGTGGAAATGGGTTGAAAAACGTTCTTGTGTGGACAGATTACAAAAAGTATACTGATGCTGGAAAACTGACCGGAGAGGTTATTTCAAGTTAATCTGCAACATCTAAAACACAACTCTGTTGGGACTCAAACCTACAACCTTCGAATGGCTTCTCTGGTGTTCGGCTACAAGTCCGATGCTGTGTCACGGCGCCACACAGATGAAGGTATCTAATGCTTAGACCTGAGGTCAAAACTTGCACAAGTGAATGAAGCAACGCCGCAATTACTGAAGACGAGGCCCCGACCCATCGATCCGTCTCTTGCTTCATCCTGCCACCGCTCAGGAGCAAGACGACCAGATACTTGAACTCCTCCTCAGCTCGGAAGGGGTGTTCCATCCGTTTCCGGTCGAGAGCCTCAGACCCAGAGGAGCTGACTCCCACCCCAGCTGCTGAACGCTCGGCTCGACACGTTTCACGACTTGTTTTCAGATACGCCGGCGGACAACTCCAAGTATCTAAAAGTCCTGGTGAAGCCTGTTGCAAAAACAACTGAAAGAACATAAAGTCGCGTGCGGCTTGATTTACAGGAAGTCAGAAAGTGTTAGCGTCACATCCGTCCATTCCATTCCGCCAGCAGTTCTTCTGCTCGGTTGTTCCTAAAGTTGGGGTCTGGACCAACGTCTGGTTTGGGGAGGCTTTCTGAAGATCTAACGCTGTCAAGGTTATTCTGCAACGCTCAAGCTTCAACGCTAACCCTGCAAACATCAAAAGGAGTGAGCGCGTCGGACCTTTAGACAGAGGAGATTTAAAGTTGTGGGTTTAAGTCCCGCCAGGGTTAATGTTTAAGTGTTGCGGACTAACTGTAAATGACTCCACAGTCCAGCTCTGACTGTTCAAAGCAACATTAGTCTGGTTCTACGGGGGTGATGGGTTTGATGCACAGCTTGAAGAACTGTATTCTTGGCCGTGCACATTGTTTTGTTTTGTCACAGGTTCTCTCAGTGAGTGAGCTTAGAGGTAGGGCAGCTGACCTGGGACCAGAAAGCCGCAGGCTCAACCCCCTGCCATGCCTGCATTCCATGGTGTCCTTGAGCAAGACACCCAATCCCTAACTGCTCCCCATTGCCCCACCCGGGTGTATCCTACATGTGATGGGTTAAATACAGAGAACTAATTTCTTCATTGTATAGAAACATACATTGATGACAACACATAGCACTTTCTTCTTCTTATATTACCTTTGATGTTTTGCCTAAAGACAAAGTTTTAGTGAAGGTATGACGCTGGGCTCCAACTTTTACCGACTCGTTGCAGTCCCATTGAATCATGAACAAGCAAGCCCTGCAGATGACTTGTTGAAATTTGACACTTTTTAAAAAAAAAGGATTGAAAATTGCATTCTGTGCGTTGAAGATTAGACCAGGGGCCTCATGCATGAAAAGATGTGGGGCTTTAATACGGAAAGTTAGCGTAGGAAAAAAATTTGCAAACGCACAAAATATTCAGATTTATGAAATTCTGCACACCTTTATGTTTCCCAACAACTCAACTCAGGGTGAGGGGAGGAAACTTCCAGAAAAAGTCTACAAGTCCTACAACAACATCTTGACCTTATCATACAAGAACTGGGAGAGCATGTTTAAAGTCTGTTAGTATTTTCCAAAGCATTGACTCTAGTGGGACTCAAACCCACAACCTTTGAGCCACTTCTCCAGAGGTTGGTTAGAAGACCAACACGCTGTCCACTGCACCACAGAGTCACATATCTCTTGGTCTTTTTTATTAAGCACACTATTAGTTCAACCCTCAATCTTCCAGTTTGAGATTAAACTTGTGCCTATTCACAAATTCATCAACAGGTTTTCTAACGGACACATTTCAAAGTGGAAATGTGTACAAACGCTTTTCGACATTTCTATGAATACGTCTGAAACTAATTAATTTTCATACAAGTCCTCTACATAGCCCATTTAGAATACCAGAGTACTGGTACTTTAAAGCTACAAGATCTGGACAGTTAGTCTACACTTTATAGCAGCTTTTCTGGTGGGACTCCAACCCGCAACCTTAGAATCACTTCTCTGGTGCTTTACTAGAAGCCCAACATGTTGTCCACTGCACCACAGAGCCACGCAGCTGGTTGTCGCAAGAACACCAAGAGACAGCTCAAAATATAAGAAAGCTGCTAACACTAAGCCTCGTCGTAATCATTACATCCGGTCTGTTTGTGGTTATCAAACGGTAAGAACAAAACTTATATCAACAAAAAATAATACAGGAATAAATAAGTTGGGTTCTGGACCAACTGTGATTTGTGAAACATCATTTGGTAAAGTGGTACCTGATTGGGCTGAGACTAACGGAGACACAAAACTTCAAGAGAATTACAAATTATTCGGTCATGGTGTCACTGAGGGTTGTCCCCAAACGACCAGCGCAGCTACGTTTTGAGTAGCTAATTTAAAAAAATCATCAGAAACTGTACAGTTTGAAATGTGAACATTTGGAAAAACTGTTGATGCATTTGTGAATCTTGGGGTACACGTGCAATTCTTGTTCTTATGTGAAAACTTTATAAATGAATTTATCTCCATAGACTGGAGCACAAATCAATGAAATACAAAATTGGGAGTTCAACTGTTGGTGTATTTAAAAGAAACATCATGAACCATGAGGCTCTGTGGCGCAATGGACAGCGCATTGGACTTCTAGTTGGACACTAAAGAAGTGATTCAAAGGTTGTGGGTTCGAGTCCCACCAGAGTCACTATTTTAATATAGAACACTACCCTTAAGCAGCCTCATGCTCAGACAGTAAAAAATAACAGTCTGGTATTCTTGGTACTATTCAAACTGTGAACGTTTGGAAAAACTCTTGATGCATTTGTGAATCTTGGGGTAAACACACAATTCTTGTGCTTTTGTGAAAACTTTCTAGATGAATTTATCTCCATAGACTGGAGCACAAATCTGTCAAACTAGAAAATTGGGAGTTCAACTGCTGGTGTATTTAAAATTACCACCATAAACCATGAGGCTTATTGGTGCAAAGGATCGCGCATTGGACTTCCAGTCTATCTCAGGAAAATTAGTTTAAAGGTTGTTGGTTCAAATCCCATCAAAGTCAATGTTGTAACAGCATACAATAACCTCCATCATGCCACAGAGCTTTGTATTTAGTGACTGATATTACATCAACTCAGCCAAAATCACTGTCAGTGATATTAGTCTGTTCAAGTCAGAGCTGCTGTCTGACATGAACTCTAAATCAAATCATGACTTTTTCTGTTTTGACTACAGGTCAAAATTTGATTTGTCTGCTGGGTACTCAAAAATACTAGATATGTGGCTCTGTGGCGCAATGGACAGCGCATTGGACTTCTAGACAAAAACTGAAGGGATTCAAAGGTTGTGGGTTCAAGTCCCACCAGAGTCACTGCTTTAATATTGAACACTACCCTAAAGCAGCATCTCTCTCATGCAGTAAAAATGGCAACAGTCTGGTATTCCTGGTACAGTGAGAAATATGCAAATTTGGAAAAACTGGCTCTTAGTAAGACTGAAACAAATCTGATGCTTTACATAAAACATTTGAAACAAAAACATCTTCATATAATTGAGCACAAGATCTAAGTCAACCAGGACGACTGGGAGTTTAACTACTGGTGGACTTGAAAATAACAGCAAAGAAACATGCAGCTTTGTGGTGCAACAGTCAGCGCATTGGACCTGAAGTAAAACACCAGAGGACTCATTCAAAGGTTGTGGGTTAAAGTCCCGCCAGAGGCAACACATCAAGTTTGAAAATCACTATGGTCTAGGTTTGGCAGTTAAAAGTAAACAATAGTGCGATATTCTTTTGTACTTTATAATAAACTTCAGTGAAAATAAATTATTCTCAGAATTATTCATAAAAGTCTTTAAAAAGAGTTAAATTTGTACATATTTCCACTTGTACAGTTTGAAATGTGAACATTTGGAAAAACTGTTGATGCATTTGTGAATCTTTGGTAAACACACAATTCTTGTTCTTTTGTGAAAACTTTGTAGACGAATTTATCTCCATAGACTGGAGCACAAATCAATGTTGAAATACAAAACTGGGAGTTCAACTGTTGGTGTGTTTAAAAGAAACAT